GTTCCCGTCCACTCCGTAGTGTTCCGGCACCCACATCAAGGTTAATTTGTTGTGCCTGGCCAGGACGCCAAGGGTGTCAATGCATTCTTTCAACAGCCTGGATCCCACTACATCAGACAAGAGGGCCCCGAGAACAGCCCTACTGACCGACATAAGAAAAATCCTGCTCCTTCTCAGAAGAACGTTACTACGACATCTGTATGCCAATATTATGGTTTATGTTTCCAATAAGAAAAATAAGCAAATAAGTTTTCATGTGCTTTAAATTGTCAAAACGCCATTTTTGCCCGAAATGCATTTCAGATTGCCATTTCGAGACGGAATTCAAACTTTAGTATTAATCTTATAGAAAAGATTGCATTTCATATTCATTTTTTATGAAAATTAAAAAAATTCTAAAATAAATTCCTTTAAATCTGTTGAAGTTTGGTGTCAGAATATTCAAAAATAATTTTATAAAACTTAAAATTGCAAGTCGTCGCTTAATTATAAATATTAAAGTTAAAGTTCTTTTATTAAAAATTTCATAAATTAAATTTATTATTTTAATCTCATTTTATATGACCATATATGAATTTTTCAATTTAAACAGCTATATTTAACACTTTGACATTTCAAACATTAAGAATTGAGAATGCGCATTCACTAAATTAGCAAACTATGAAGATTTGTTGTGCCCCAAAAGCAGCCGAAATCAATTTTAAAGTTTAAAATAAATTTGTAGAAAAAAAATTAAAATTTATGGCACAATTATTTTTGATGAATGCCTACTACACTTGTACTTATTTTCATTTTTTAATAAATTCTGTTGCATAAACGCTACGAAATCATTAATAGCGATTTCAATTAATATTTCTACACTACAACAACTAACTGCAAGTAATTATAAAATATTATAATTTAAATTTAATTAAGAGTTAGATATCTAGTTAATAATCTGTGAACAACAATTTTAAAATAAATTATTTCTGTTATAAATTAAATATTGTATAAATTTATGTATACATTCAAAGTTCAAAGTTTTACCGACATTTTGATTTTTCTTTGAATTGAATATTTTATGGAATGCGCTCAAAATACAATTTATCATAATAAAGTTAGAACAAAGGCTGTATCAGTGTTTGTGATAAGAATTTGTTAAGAGACTTATTGGAAGCGAATAAATAGTGAAAATAAGGTTGTCATATGTAAATACACGGATGTATTGGGGTTTTGTGTTAAAAAGTGCGGTGAAATATAAAGCTGATTGTATGTTATAGAAACCGGTGTTTCCGTTTTATGGTGAAATGCTTTATAAATTATAATGAAATATCAACGCTGTGAAGGTAAAGCGTATTAACCCTAAACCGATGAGGTGGCAGGAAAATTTTACACTTTCCACATTATTCCCTCATATTGCTCTCTCCCATTTTCATATTTTCTGTACCTTCACACTATTTTGTGATCTGTTACTCAATATTAGCTTTGTTATCGTGCGTAAAACACTGAGAAATTAAGAGAGAGATGTAATTATTACTACCAACTCGATGAATATGTTAAAAAATTTTAACCCGTAGGTTAAAAGTTAAGTACACTTTGTGCTCAATTTGAAATTTTTTTTTTTACTTAGTGAATTGTAAAAAAAAAGTATGAAAAGATGGAACGAAGGCGAAAACCTTTATTTTAAAATAATTTTTTGATTTCCAGACTATTAATTCGATTTCCAACTATTATGGCGGTAGAGTAGAATTGATTATGCCGACTCTATGATATCCGTTATGAGTGTTTTCTATAAGAGTCAAATGTCAGCCGACTAAAGCACTCATATAGAGCTTGCTAATACTTATTCATAGAATGTTGGCAATGAACTAAATCAATTCACGTAAATAGGTATGTGTATTCCCCTTGTTCAATTTTCAATATTTAAAAATCTTGAAAAGTCTTCATTTTTTTAACGCTTGCGTCCACTTATACTGAGTGTATACTTAGTCACATCTATCACACTTATTCTAAATTTCAAGTAAATTTATTCAATAATTTAAAAAAAAAATCTCTATTGTTAACATGCTCGTTCACTATTATAGACTTATGGTAATACTTAATAATAATAATTAAATTTTAAAATAAATAATTTTGATTAAATTATTGAATAAATAATTTGAATTGTTCTTCATTCTTATTTCTATATATTTGTGTTTTTTTACCGATTTTCGCATATTATCGATTGAATCAGCCACAGTTTATGATTATTTATTATTTAATTATATATTTTAAGAAAATATTGAAAATAAATTAATTATAAAATATCTTTAAGCACAATTTAAAAATGCTTTTAAAAAAAATTTTCATTTTAAAAAATTTGATATGGAGCTTTTTTAAGTGATTTTACTAATCTTAATTCTTATTAGATTTGAAAAACGACTTTGATTTTTTTATTCTCATTTTCTTATTAATGACGAATTTGACATTAATTGATTGTTCATTAAAATATATGTATAGTTTTTAAAAGTAAGGCAAAGGAAAAAAAATCTGATGTGATCAGCACATAACCGATCGTAACGTGTATTTAGCGAAAGTGTTACAGAAAATTATAAAATTGCCTTTTAATCACTTTTATCTTACTTTTAGTAGAGGTCCACTTTTATTCCACTCGAATTCCCTGAAAAATTTGTCACTTACTTCTGGTAGAAAACAGAACTCAAATATTGCATTTGAAGAAATTTCTTCAATTAATTCACTAGATACGATAAAAAATGAAAAATCGGCCCATTTCGATTTCTGAACCGTGATATTTCCCAAAATGATAATCGTCCTGGTCCCATCGTTCTGTTGTAACATATGGATGCGAAATATGGATACCGAATGTAGCGGAGTAAAATCATCTAAGAATCTTCGAACGAAAAATACTGAGAAAAAAATTTGGTGCCATAAGATTATAAAACGGAGCATATAGAGGTATAAAAAATAGTAAAATTAATGATTTTATTAAAAGTGAAGACATAATACGTTTTAGTTAACCGCAACTAACCCATAAAAAGATCGAGTTTCCTGGGTTTGACATATTACAAAAATTGATCAATTCGTGATAAAGGGAAAGTACTTGAGGCACACGCGTGCACGCACAGCCCAGCAGGCTGACAGACCGGCATCTCCCCAAATATGGAAAAATAGGACCATCACGAAGTTTCCACCGGAGAACTCAACATACAAAATTTGGTGTCATTTTATAACTTACCTTACTGAAAGTAATACAGTCAGTAAACAAAACTGACACGACATAGTTAGCATGTATCTCTATAGGCAATATAATTTTTTAACAATGAATTCATGAAAAAAACATAATTTTGCAATTAGCATAAACTTTACATTCTAATACAAGTTTGTAAAAATATACATATGTACGTGTATAATTTCTACATATAAAAAAAATTGTAATTTATTTTTAACTAGTTTTAGACTTTTTTTTTACGATAATGATTAGTAATTTACACGTTTTATGTATATGGCGCCAATTACTTAAAAAATGTAGGTATGCTCTGGTTCCAATCTAAATTATATTTATTAAAAATAAAAAAAAAATTTTGAAATTGCTGAAAATCTTGACAAAATTTAAATAGACTCTAAATTAAGTGGTGTTAAAATTTATATAAATTGATTAAATAATTTATTAATGAAAATAAATTAAAAATCATTTAAATATCAAAAATCTGATTTTGAATTGAAAAAGTTACGATATTGATATCATGAACGCAATCAACTTGTGTGAACGCAAAGAACGTTGTTATATTAAAAAAAATTAAGATTAAATGAATTTCAGTGGTCATTAATTACGAAAAAATTATTTTGAATATTTGAAGTGCAATATTTCTAATTTTGAACATTTTTCTTGCTAAATAAAAAGTAAATGAAAGATTAAGGAGAGAAACTTTTTTTTTAATACAAAAGTGTTTATAGGTTACTTGGTTTGTGAATGAAAAATCATTGCGAAATGAGCTCTATTAAACACTAAAGTGCGTAGACGAGAAATATTCAAATATAAATCGCATTCCATTGCAATAAATCGAACCAGGTGGAATTTGTTATACTGAAAATTCACAGTCTTCATATTCATCAATTCGCAATCCGCGAAAAGAGACTCACAAAATTCAAAGAGAAGTACAGTTACGGGGGTGACCGCCTTCTATTTGCTCCTAGTGCTGCAACACTATTGGGGAAATTATGGTTATACTTTGACGTTGTCTTTCCCTTTCATGTAATATTACAATACTCATTCAATGGTTTACAAGTCCGAATATCATTCTGTTTCGATACCGAATTCAATTTAATTCCTAAATGCTCAACAATTTCGTTGCGCAAAGTCATTCAGGACATTGACCGTCTTATATTTGAATTCTTTTAACACTGAATTACTTGAAAAACACTTTTATTGAGTTGTCTGGTAAACGGAGCCTCTAAAACCGAATTGCTCAAAATTAAATTTTGCCCGCTCATTCATTCTGTGCAAAGTTTTTCGTTTCGTAACGCCTGGCTCAACACAATCGAAGTTCTAAACTTCTTTGTGAATGAGAAAATAGGAGAAACAAAAATAGTGTTCCGTCAATATGACGGCAGTAAAATTGAAGATATTGCAACCACCTGCTATTCCAGATTTTATAATGCCGGCAGATAGATCAGAAGAGACTAAGTGAGAAGAGCTTGAGTTTGTTTCAATTTCGAATATGGTTATCACACTCGTAAATATACGAAATAATGTTCGTTATATCAAATACCGTATACGTTCTCTGTGATTGGTTTTGCACTATAGCTATCGTGTTAAAAGTTTGTAATTGTGAAGAAATCTAAAAAAAAAACTTGACTTATATTTTTGCTCTATAAATTGATACTAACATACTTACTAACAAATTTTTTTATCTAAAATTAAAATAAAAAAAAAATTTACAATTTTTTAAAAAAATTTTTTAACTAATTAAATTTTCTTTTACCATTTTGTGTGGTAACCTTTCTATTTTTCTTCTAAACAGATGAACGTGATGCCATACAAAAAAAGACTTTCACAAAATGGGTTAATAAACATCTAAAAAAGGTAAATATATTTTTTTTATTTATTTTCAATCTTACACACAATAAATTAAATATTATTATCTAAGCATTATGCTAGTTCTATTAAAGTAATGGCTAAATAATATATTTAAGAAAAATTGTAAGCAAGAATATTTGCATGTAGATATCAGGCGAGAAATGAAATATGCTGTAATGCAGCTCCTTAGGCTATTTGTTCGAAAAAATATTTATAATTTCGACCATGCGCTACTTTATTGCATGTAATTAAATTTGTAGAGTTTAATAAAATTAGATTTTAATTAATTGATGATAATAAGCTATTTTTCTTCGAATGACAGAAATTCCCCCCTTCTTTCAAGTCAAGAGTACCGTATGTATAAGACTATTTACAAGAAACTAAAAATTGACCTTAATTTATTATAGTTAAGCTAATGTCTGTAGATCAGTTTCTTGTTATTTCAAGTTGAAGGTTATACTTAATTAGATCCACTCTCAAAGTATTTATGTTAAAATATTTACATAATGAATATTGTCTTAAAAATTGTTATAGTTTTCCATAACTAATCCAAACTTTATATAGAATATTCTATAAGTTTATTATGTAAACAATGATTATTTAATAGTGGTGCCATATTATATTTATTTTTTCTTTAAAATTTCCGAAAATTTCATTAAATTTTTAAGTATTTTTAAAATGTTGTTGATAAACACCACTCCTACATCTTTATTCACAACAAATAAACATTAATTTTGTATATTTAAAAAGTAGTAAAAATAATTAAGAAAATTTCAAAATATAATATTGAAGTAGAAGAAGAAGAAGAACAATAAAAGTGTTGATAATAATTAACATGGTAAATATTGACATAAAATATTTTGATGACATGACGTGCTTTTACAGAATGGAAACGGATGTCAATTTTTTATTTTCATTTGTTTTTGTTTTTTGTTCTTGTCTCTTTGTCTCTTTTTCTTTTAAGTGAACAAATATTAACCTTTTCTTGTAATTTTCTGTTTCTCTATTCTTATTTTCTTATATTCTTGTTGTTTTTATAACAATTTTTCCTTTATTTTTGACATTTTTAAGTAAAATGTCTTTATTGTATGTGAATAAGTGTTGCCGTTATGAACGAAATGTACACTTTCATAAAAAGTTGTTTTAAGTGGTTTTTGATTCATTTTTTTATTGATTATTCGGCAATTTAATTGCAAAATATTGAAAGGTTTTCAATATACGACTTGTCTTATAATATACTTTTTTGGTTTTCAAATATACCGTACCTTTATATATTCGGGTAGAACTTTATATAAGAACTTCAGCTTCATTAGCAAAACAAAATAAGAGGGTTTATTCCGAGTGTCGAATAACTAAGGGATAGTGATATTTATCGTAAAAGTCTCAAAAAATTTATTATAGACACGTATAATTTGCATGAATTGGTTTGTGTTTACAATAATAATATCGAATTTTTTACGATAATTTATTATCATTATTACTTAATGATTTGATACTCAAAATAAACCCCAATATATCATTTTGACTTTCATATTAATATATTTTTCCACAAAATATTAATAACGGCAGCACTAATTTCAAAATATCAATGAGCAAATAATTTTTTTTTTGCAGTTCGTTTACATAGTCGTATATTTGTTAGCTTAAAATCATAAACAAAAACCAATGATAACAAAATATTTAAATATATTTTTTTTGCAAAAAAATTAAATTAAATTTGCAGAAAATTTTTATTTTGCAACTCTTCGTAATCCTAACTGTAATTTTTAAAAGTAAATAAAAAAATTAAAACTAATATTTTGATATTTATTTTTTGCAAGCTACTGTTTTTTTTGTGTCAATATTGAAAAAATAAAGCAAAGTATTGAAATATACTTTACACATACACCCACACTTTTATACAGTTACATACACACCAATTCATAATAATTGTGTTTACATTTTACTCAATTCATTATTTGAAGAGTGAATGTGAATGCAATGCAAAAAATGTTGCCGTAATGATTTATTTTGAGAACAAAAATGTAAACATGTGGGGCAAGCAAGTACTTGTTGATGCAAATGTAGGGTGCACATTGTGTTTTAAACTTCTTGGTCAATTCATAAAAAATTCATTTTGGTTGAATGAAAATGAATTTTTCAAGGGTCATAGAAATAATAAAATATTTTTAATTTTTTTTTATTAAATATAATGTGGTGGCTTTTTGTGTATTTAATAATTTATTCGCCGATGAAGCTTGAAATCGATATTCAAATGTATAGAGGGAGCAAGAATGAAAAAAGAAAAAAAAAATAATTTTTAATTTATTAAACAAGTTAATAAAAAAAGAAAAAGAGAGATGAGATGAGATCATCTTCACAGTTTTTTGTTGTATTATTTTCTTGTTATTGTTGTCAAAAAACGCGATATAATCTAGTTTTTTTCATTGTTGTTATTTTAGAAACCAGGTAGTAAAATTAATAAGAAAAAAAAACCAGTATTGTTATTGTTAATCGCGTTTTTGAAATCACTTAAAAAATGTGGTGTCATTTTACATTCAATACTATAAAAATGTTATAAATTATAAACAAAAATGTTGATTTTGTTATAATATGCGTGTATAATTTTAGACAAGTTAAAACTGTTTACAACCTTATATATTGTATGTAATAATTTTGTTATTCTATTACATATTGATTAATATTTATAGATACACGTCCACATTCATATATACATACACATACAGTTTACAAGCAATTGCAATTTATTTCGATTATTTGGGTTTTTCTTTTTCATTTAAACCGCAATTTTATTATAATCAATTTGTTTTTAATTTAATTAAAATATTTTAAAAATGCGCTTTCGTCTTTTTTAAAAAAGGTGCATAGTGTTCAGTTTCATGCACAACTAATGTATGTGCGTGAGTTTGTTGAAAAAGAGATATTTTTTACAAATGCCGTAAACGTTAAATGGTTGTTATACAATTAAATACACAACAAAATAGAGTCTAAACACATAAAAATAAATTTTGTTTTTGAAGTTACTCAAAATAATGACGAACACTCAGCCTGTTCATAACCTAAAGTATGTGTAAATATTTGGGTAAAGTCGGCCAAAAATTTCAATTCGGTTTCAACTATTATGGTTCCAAAATGATCACCGAAATTATTGCATTCTAATTAGCCATATTAGTTTATTTTACTGTCATAATGGTATAATAGTAAATTACACTATTATGACAAAAGAGTTACTGTTGTGACAGTACTTTATTGTTGTAACTGTACTTTACTGTTGTCATAGCATTTTACTGTTGTGAAAGCACCTTACTGTTGTGATTGTACTTTACCGTTGTAACAGTACTTTGCTGCTGTGACAGTACTTTACTGTTATGATAGTATTTTACTGTTGTGACAGTACCTTACTGCTATGACAGTATTTTATTGTTGTGACAGTACTTTACTGTTGTGACATTATTTTACTGTTGTGACAGATATTTATTGTTGTGGCAGTGTCTTATTGATTTGAAAGCATTTTACTGTTTATCCCAGTAATTTACTGTTATGATAGTTATATACTGACTTAATGGTAGTTTACTTTTATGATAGTACTTTACAAACATTAATATTTTAAATATACGTAATTATAAAGATAATAAGGTCTCAGATTCGCGTTAACTACTTTTAAATAAGAAATTTGAACGTCAATTTTCATAGCTTTTGTTCTATTCTAGTGGTGTACAAACATTACTATCAATGTCAATTTATAATTTGACTTCTAAAGACATACAATTTTTTTTTCTGAGTGTATTACAAGAAACTTAAAAATCAAATTAAAAACTAATAAACATTAAAAATTTTCTATTTTAACTAAAATTAAGATGATCTCATATGCAAATTAATTAAATCTTACGGCACACAATACAAAACATTAATGTGTGTATGTGGTATAGGCATAAATGTATATTTGGTCGTTATGTTTGTTTTGTTATCATAATTAAATAATTTGTTTGGTTTTTTTTTTGTTTTTTTTTTTTTTTTAATTTCATGGTTCTAAATTAAGAATTCCATATAAAAGTATAAATAAAGAACTTGAAAATCATAAAACGCATAACATTTTGCATTGATTATGTTATGATTGTAATTTACATTTATGATATAAATAAAATGATGTCATTTGTTTATGGCATTTAGGATTTGTAGAGTGACATAATTGACATAAAATTCAATATAATTATTTTAGAATTTGATTTAGAATTTAAATATAAAAAATGTTTAGTAAAAATATTTTAATATTTATTCGGTTTCGACTGGGAATCCACATTAATGTAAATTTCTGATTTGGGCTTTTCTCAGTTTAATTATGATTGGATGACTGAAGCAAGTTTGTGTTATGCCTTAAATTCCACTAAAAGAAACAGTGAAACTAAAATCTGTTATATATGGGCTAGAAAATTGGGATTTTCAACAGTTCAACAGTTTTGAACTTTCTTTAAATATTGTTAGATCTCAGCGAAACTGATCATATAAGTGTTAACAGGTAAAAAACTGCTTTCAATATATAATTTGATTCCATAATATTGAAAAATTGAAAATGAATAGTTTTCAGTTTATTTCTGTTTAAATTCCAATTTATAACTTTTAGTTCAGTCACTACATATAGGCCGAATCATTTCAACTCTAGTTTCAATAAAAAATTTCCTCAACGTTGTACGTATACATATACTTATCTGGTGTTGTAGCATTTAAAGTTTTTTCTACAACAAAAATACGATAAACGCCAATAAATATTTTTACAGCTCATAAACTTAAATATTTTATAATAAAAAGCAATTTTAAGGCGCCCTTATATGCATTATTATCTACGGCACATAATATGCTTGTTAAAATTTATGATAAATCGTTATTAGATATCCTTGGGAAAATGCTCTTAGGATAATTTCATTGGAAAATTTTAAATTTTTATTATCTTTTGTTTTTATCATTTCTTTCAAATCGTAATCACAAATTTTGTTCCATTAAATTAAAGAAAAATAATTTTTAATAACATAATTTGCGCTGTAAAAAACACCTTAAGCGTCGTTTTGTATTCAATTTGAAAACAAAAAAAAAATCCATAATTTATTTTTGATATTTTGTTAAAGGATTTATATTATTTTTTTCTTACGCAACTGACTAAAGGAAATGTGTTTCTCTCCTATTCCATTTAAATCTTCTCACGCTCAATAGGTCTAAGTTTAAAGAATACAAAAAGGTATACGCTGATGTTTCTTTTAAAAGATAAAAATTTTTAGTATTCATATGACTATAAACTTGTAAGGTATACTGAATTTGTCGCACCAATCTGAATTCTATAAGTAAAAGCAATACCGCAGTATAAAATTTAGTTTTAAAAAGCCTAAATTGGCATTTGCTTAAAAAATATTAGGATACTTTTTTGTTATAACGAAGAAATATACTGTTATGACAGTGCTCTACCATTATAATAGTATTTTACTTTTACAAGAATGAATTTTTATGTTCTTTATTTGCTTGCAATAGTAAAATAAGTACTGCTATGACAGTACTTTACTGTTACGACAGTATTTCAATGTTGTAATACTACTTCACCATTGTAACATTACTTTATTACTTTAAAAGATCTTTGCTGCTGTAATTATACTTCACTGTCATGATAGTATTTAAATGCAATAACAGTTACTATATCGTAGTGACAATACTTTAAGACCTGTACGATAATATACTTCAATTTGTGACAATAGCTTGAGGTAAATTTCAAAAGTTCATTATGTTTTTATGTACCCTATTAATAAGCCGCTTCAAGTTTATTTCTCTTTCCGCTATTTTCTACACACAATATACACTTACAAAAAGTCAAAATACTTTTTTATATTTCATGTTAAACCTTTTTTGTTTTCTTAGTTTTCCAAATGTAAGTGGTCAGCTAAGTTAATCTTTTATATTGCTATATAAGATTTGTTTTCTTTTTTCTTAGAAAAATATTTTATTTATTTGTAACATAAAACCCCCTTAAGCTGAAAGAAAAAACAAATTTTTAATAATTCCCATAGGTAAGTAATAGTTACATACAAAGTCATAGTCCTGCATGATTCCAGTTGGACTCCAACAAAAAAATAAAATTCATATGTGCGGTTGCATTACAAATTTTTCATTTTTATTTTGAATTTCCTTTCCTCCATAATATTTCTTTTTCTACACGAATTTTTTTCTTTTGAGTTGAGTAAATTCATTTCGTTCCATTAGCCTGTACTGTAAAGTGTGCAAGAGATTAATGTTAAGAGAAAATTTAGAAAAGCAAAGAAAAAGAAGTATTGAAAACTTATGTGTAAAGGGCGTGCTCTTTTCTCTTGCATTCTAGACGAACTTGTGTAGGTTCTTATGAATATTTATATATTATCCTGCTATATCCATATAGCTGCTACTTGCTGTTATTTAAAGTGTTCAATGAGCATTGTACTTTGGAACAATAAATGAATTTCAGATTTTGAAACTGTACTACAGCTGGCAAAGAATTAGCGAAATCCAAATTCTACCAACTTAAAAACTGTTACATACAGACCGAACTTTTAATAGCGTCAGCTCAGGAGCGCGTGTCATCATCTTAAAAATACACACATTATACTCTTCTCATTTAACATTTTCTTAACATTGCCGTTTTCGAATTTCAAATAATTTTCTTAGATATTTTTAATCACAAATTTTATTGGTTTTTCTTTCTTTTTTTGAAAAACTTTTCTCAATTTTCCTATCTTTTATTGTACATCTTAAAATATTCCAAAAACTTTGCAACAAATCTCAACATAATCTAAAAGACTCTCAACAACAAACAACAGCAAAAACAACAAATCTTTGAAGAATCTCGAAATCTGTTATACTTGGAATTTATAGTTTGTATAAGAGTTGATGTTGTAAAAAATTAGAAATTTTTCCAAATTTGGTTGTAAAAAGCAGAACGGATTTGTGTTTTTGTTTTATTGGTTGCCAATGTTATAAAAATGTTATTCATGTTTTACATTTATTTAATTTGTTGTTGTTGTTCTTGTTCTATGATTAAACTTTCATCGGTAAAGATTAATTTTCAATGATTGCAGCACAATATAAAAAACAATTAAATTTACAATGATCGTTTAATGTTGTTTAAAGTTTTCCGTCAACAATGTTGCTTGCTTGCTTCCCAATACAAAAAACGAGAAGGAGTAGAACGTTTTTTGAGAAAATTTTTTTACTTTGTAACGAAAAGAAATTATGTAAATTTTACTTGTAGATAAAAAATTGTTGCTTAAAAAAATTCTGCTTCAGAAAGTGTTTTGCATTTTAAATTTTTCGATTTTGTTCAAGATTTGAAAAAGTTCTTATTTAGGTCAAAATTTTTTTCGGGTTTTTCAATTATCAAAAATTTATATAGGAAGTTGAAAATTAGTGTGTACATTTTGTTTTGCTGACTTTAATTAAAAAAAAAAATTGTTGATAGTTTAATCTAAACAACGATTAGAAAATCACAAAATCTTGGATCTTGTATGAATTTGACATATTTTTGTTTTTGCTTTAATTCAACTGTCAATTATTTTGCTTGAAACATTGTTGCAATTTGCAACAATGTTTCAAATTGCATTGTTACTTTACATATTGTGTTGTCATTTATTAGATTAGCACAAAAAATATGCTAACATTTTTTCATTCGTTTATTCTCCACAACAGTCCGCCCAATTTTCTCTTATTGTTTGTAAATTACTTTTATTTTGAACAGAAACAGCTTTTCTGCCAAAAAATGAATGTCCCATAATATGATCACATAGGGTAAAACGCCGAACAATTTTGGAAGATTTTTTTTTTATTCTTTTGTTGCTGCGGAAAACTCAACCAAAAATTATTGAAGCTGAAATATTATTCAGATGTAAATATTATACAGTCCAGATTTTGCAGCATCAGATTACCACTTACTTCGATGTTTGCAGAACTCTTTTTTATAGTAAAACCTTCCATGATGACGACACTATAAATTCGCATTTAGTTCAGCTTTTTGCTGTTCTAAAACTATAAGATCTACGAGGGGGTACTCATGTAGATGCCAAAAAGATGGCAAAAGGTTTTATTGATTATTGATCAAAATGAAAAATATATTGATTAATTTTCATTCATAAAATCCTGAAATTACCTGAATATTTTGTTAATTTTTTTTTCGGACAACGCGACTGTTCAAAATTAATTTTTTGCCTTGTTCAATATGGTTCATTCTATCACTCTGTTTCGGCTTCTCGAACCGAATTTCGAGAAACAGTACTATTATTTCTCGAACACTTTGCTTACGTATTGATCAAACGTAACCGCTACAATGGTTTGATTGTACGGAGAAAAATATTTTTAAAACTTGGCACATTACAGAATTTACTCTAAAAATAATTTTTTGAGAAATTTATTTGTAATTGTAATAAATTTATAATTTAAACAACTTTTATGCTCTTAATAAATTTTAGCATGTTTTTATAATATTTTTAATCTTATTCAATATTTTTTTTTAAATATACAAAAAACATACATATACATAAATATTGTATAAAAACATTCTTGATTACTATTTACTTTTGTGTCTATGACTACAATATGGTTATTTTTTAAATTTTATTTACATATAATACATATGCATATATAAATATTGTAAAATATATATACATATATTAATTTCGCTATTTTTTCGCTGAGTTTTTAATAAAAAATATTTTAAATATTAATATATATACATACATATACATATATATTTTATCTTTTTCTGTTTATATGTGTCTTTCATGCAGCACTGGAAATATGCAGCCAAGGTATAATTTTACCAAGATTTTTATTCAGTTTTCCTTTTATTTTCATTATGTTTAGCGTTTTATTAGAAAAAAAAAGGTCCTTAATTTTTTTGTTTTGAGTTTCTATAACATATTTTGATTGGTTTAATATAAATGAAATCAATCTCCGATTTCGTCTTTGGCAAAAAAATCCGTCTTTGGTAAAAAAAAGCAATTTCTGAAAGCTCTTTTTTTTTTTCTGAGCTCGTACGATAAGGACGGAAGAATATAAAAGGCAGGGTATGAAAACCGTTCTAGTTTTAACGAGAGATGGAGAATTCAAAGTGCCTTCTGTTTTACTTACCCAAAATTTTCCGACAGTCGTTAGAGATATCTGTTGTGAACATTCTCATTATTGTGCTAAAATCCGTTCTATACTACACTATATACAGCTTTCGTTCTTAATTCTGGTAAAGTCTCCACTCATTGGAGACTCGGACAAATCTCCACTTACCGGATTTCTCTCCTTTCAATTTCGTCATTTATTATCTTCCGGAATTCTTTTAGTGATAAGCGGAGTTACTAGATTTCATTTTCTATCTCTGCAACACTGACTAGACTGTTGGATATTTCGTTTCTTTATATTTTGTTATATCTTTTCATGTTGTAAACACGGTTATTCTGTATACAAGAGTATAAACACGAGAGACGCTATTATTACTCTCCTCCTCACACTTTCCCCAAAGATAATCAATAGTGAAGTATTGGAGAATTAGAGAATATTGCGAGATCTGGATTCTTCTTAAATTTACCCATGATAATTTTTACATTATAAACAATAATTTAATTTTTTATTTTTAATTATTAGAATAGTTTACGGAATACGTTATGATTATAGTTCAAAACCCTTTTACCACCTTACCAATTTAGTAATGCCCCTTTTTATATTTTTTTAAATTAATTTTTAATTTTATTTTTTAATATTTTTGGTTTTAAAAAATTAAATATTTAAAATAAAATATTTGTTTTCCTAATAAAATAATAATTAAAATTTATTTTTTATTTTTTCTTTTTTTTTTTAAATTATTCCTCGTATTTAACTAAAAATTCCTTTATAATCTTCAAAAAAAAATGTCTACAGACGTATACATTTTTACATGTTTGTGTATCGATCAGTGGGTCACCCTGTTGTCCTCCAACTGTAAGTTGTTCCTTTAAAAAAAAAAAATTAGTTTGAAAATTGTTTGAAATTTTTTGTTTGTTTTCTCTCATTTTTTTTCAGTTTTAATTTGTTGTGCAAAGAGAAAATTGCTCACTCACGCCGCTCCTCCTTTTATGTATGATAGACACTTTTTTTATGTTTTTCTCTTATTTTTTTTTTGTGAATATTTAAAAGAACATAATGCCAATTTTTTAGTTTATTAATCGCTTAGTTTTTAGATTAATTATCGCTTAGTTTTTAGATTTATTATTTTTTTATTATATAAAGCCAATGTACAATTATTTTTAAGACGAAAAATCTACTATGCACCAAAATATTAAAAATTTGCTTTTTTAAAAATTTTGGCTAATTTTGCGCTTTCGCTCAGTTTGTTGATTTGATTTTGAAATGCTAATAATCATTTAAATAATAATTTACTCAAATTTTTAAATATATTTTCGATATTTTAATAAAATTTTATAATTCTTATTGGACAGCTTATTTTATATTAAATTACTGCTTAAAGATTAAATAATTTTAATTGCTACTTTTGTAAAAATTATTGACAATGGGTCATTGAACGTATTAGTCCCGTAAAACATAATGTACGAATTTAAACCACTAAAGACTCTCGCTCACGAAATGACTGTAAGCGCAAATTGATGAGCAATTTTGTGCAGTGTTTTAGAAAATTCAATAATTTTTAATCCGATACAATGCCGCACGAATTTTACTACAACGGTTAATTTTTCCATACAAAAAATTTTAAATAATAGCAAGAGGAATTTTGCAGTGATCGAAAATCCTTATAAGAGAATTTTGACTGCAAATATGTCAAGTAGCATCAATATGTTATGAAACATGATTGAATAAATTAATTTTATGATCACCTGCTTGACATTTAATTTCAAATCTGTATTTGCAATTTCGAATATTAATGATGCGTGTTCACACATATGGATTCCTCATCGCCGAATACCTTAACTCATAACTTAAAATTTAAATTAAAAGCCCTCCTTTTCGGAATTTTGTTCAATTTTCTATATTGCTGTATTCTTCCACGTGAAATCTCTTTTTCCTTGAACTTGCAATCAGGATTATAAAAACATTATTTTAGACCAAACAAAACTCTGCATTTTTACTAAAGTTGACATTAATCGATTTCACCTCATTAAGTTTTTTTTTTAATTCCATAACGTATTAATGACAAAATGTCACAGATAATCAAGAATAGGAGTGTCAATTCATAGAGAGTTTTTTTTTGATATTACTCAATTATGTCGACAATATTTTTTGTACATGTTTACACTGAAAATATACTTAAATGCAATTATTTTTTGAATGGCAATTACTTCTTGTCTCTTTCTCATGTAATTTATTAAATGAATTAATTTAATGTTTAGATCAACATTGATCCATAAAATTTCAAGTCTATTTTTAGATTTATGAATTGACCTGTTGACATCCTTTCTTTTCTTTCTTCTTTTTTGTAATTTCTTATTCAAAATCCTTTCATTAAAAAAAAGAATGAAAATAATGATTTCAATTTTCCATTCAATTAATATTTTCCAGCATTGTCATCATCATTATCATGAAGCATCAATCATTCATTCAATTTTATTATTTATACATTAATAATTTTTTTTTCTTTTTGAAATTCAAATTCGTACAACACCTTATAAGGTGTGAATGTAATTAAAAGGTAAATAAAGAGTGTAAAATTTTTCTGTTTTTGCAGATATTTTCCGTTATAATACTCAAGTGTATAACTATAACTCAGTGTTATATTTAATATTTCATCAATTCTTACGATTTTGTTATTACATTCTTCTTGTATCTTGTCTTCTTCCAATTCTTATGATATTAAACATCGCCGCATTGATTCCCATCATTGTGCTTTGTAGTACAATTTCATTTTCGATATATACTCGCACATTCCATATTTCTTAATATTGTGGAGAAAGGTTGATTGTTTTGATATATGAGGTATAATAAGGTATAGATGACGTATATTTAAGCTTAAGCATCCAATTAAAATGATCTTTAAAAAAATGAAATATTAACAATAAATTTTTTTGTCTGTGTATTAAATTGTGAATGATTTCATTAAGAGATCTCTTTAAAAACTCATCAAAATACAACAGACTCTGACTGTTTTTGGAGAAATTTTTAATTTAAAGTAAAAAAAAAATCCACCTGCAACTTTACAATTTTTTGGAGAATGAAAGCAAAAAAAAAATTTGAAAGCAATTTATTTTCTTTTTATTGTTGGATTGGAATAAAAAAAAAAATGATTTCTTGCGAGAATTGAAATAATCATGTCCTAAATTTCATAATTTCAACCTTGATTTTCTCCATTCTTAATTTGTCTAAACTAATTTTTTTTTCTTTTTTGAAATTCTTATTTTAAGTATGATGTTTTTTATAAACGGTGTCAGTTAAAATATAACTGATTCATTTTGGGTAGATGTTAGTTGTCTTTATTATAATATTAGATGAATTAAAGAGAGAGATACTTCAAGCACAGTGAGGTCTCTGAAATTTGCGTAATATTATGCGTTTTATATTGTTTTTGCTTGCACTTTCTATAAGGTGTAAATATTTCATTTAAATGTTTTATTGTTTAAACATGGAGTATACTAATTTAGTAATTGAAGTATACTAATTTCGTAATTGAAGTGTACTAATTGAGTAATTGGAATATAATAATTTAGTTTACTATTGAAAGCGCTAAAGGCGTGCTTAAAGATTAAATTTTCTCTTAAATATTAAAGTTTCTGCTTATGCCAGTGGAACACACTGCTTTCAAATGTCTTTTTTTTTAACAAAAAAGTGCAAAATTTTCATCTATTTTTGAATTTGACATAATATTATGTGCAATAATTTCGGTTTTTGAGTAATTTTATACTGTTTTAGGGGGTCATATAAGTACTCTTTCCAATTACTGCTTTAGAGTGCCATATACTCTTTAAAAATACTGTTTTATATAGATTGATCGGCAGTAGGGTTTGGGAATGCTGTGCTGTATAAAACTCTTCAGTGGACTTCAGAAAGAAAAAAAATTGTAATGGTCCGTAAAACCGATTCGAATTTTCAATTTCGGTTTTAATTTTTCATCTCTTTTACTCTTCTTGTATTTCGAAATTCTTGATTATATTTGCTTGTTTTTTTGCTCTTGCTGAAATCTCGATAAAAATCTAGGTAAATAATTTTTTTTATTTGTTGTTTTGCTATAATATCGCTCTGCCGCTGCACTGCTTGATATTTTTTTTTTATAGTACTCTGAGTATATTGTAATAAAAAATAATAACGCCAAATGAAAAGCACTCACTTTTTTTTATTTAATTTCTTCAGTTATTTTTTTTAGCAAAAAAAAAGTAATTTTTTTTTTTTTTAAAGTTTTTTTTTATCACTGTAATGAAAATTGCAATTAAAATTTCCATACATTTTTTTTTTGTTAATTTAAAAATTTTTTCAAATTATTTTCCATTTTTTCTTTTCTCATATTTTTATTATTCATTCCAGGCCTCCCGACGTGTTGACGATCTCTTTGAAGACTTGCGTGATGGACATAATTTGCTTTCTCTCTTGGAAGTTTTATCTGGCGAACATCTTGTAAGTATCACACGGAAAAAAAAAGAATTTTACTTTTTGTTTTAGGTTTGATTTTTGTTTTTGTACATCAATGCAAAAATTGTGTGCAATTCGGAATTAAATACAGAAAAATAAACAAAAAGGAAGAAGAATAGGGGAGAGGGAGAAGGGGGAAGGGCGAAATTGTAAAGAGTAACTTTTTTTTTGTAATTTGTTTAGTTGTATGTTAATATGCCAGATTATTTATTGGAGATGTCAAGATTTATTAAAAAATTTTTATTATTTTTTTTTCATACATAAATAAATTATTATTGTTGCAAATATTAAGAGAAAAAATCTTGAAAAAAAAAATATTATCGTCGGAGTGAATTTATTTACTTACTTTTCCATAATTTGATTTTCTTGTTTTTGCAATATACTTATAAACTATGTGAAATATGATTATTTGGGGTCAGGAATTAAGATGCAAGGAATTTGTATGGAAGGTAGCGACACAATGAAAATAGCCGTTATAATGGAGCGAGGTTCGATGTCATCTTAATGCCACAAAGCACTGTTTTAAATTACTAGAGGTAGCGTAAGTGTGACGCGCTTCACTTTACAATTCTAATTAATAATTTTAGTACAGAAAAACCCATTTTTTTTTTGTTTAAATTACGATATTAATTGATAATTATACGGTCCCAGTGATAACGCGAAAACGCATTAAAGTGAAGGCATATTAAAGTTTCAACAATAGTTGCTACCGCAAGAATTTTATTTGTTTTGTATTCGATCAAAGCAGTGGTTCGAATAGCTGCCGTACAACTCGACAAATAATTTGGTCTTGGAAACCATTTAGTATTCCAATTTTGTATAAAGTGGCATAATTCATAGAGTTTCTCAACTCGACCTCAAATTCCTTCTACCTTATTTCCTCACTAGTTATTTTTGCAATTTTAATGATGACTGCAATAATCATATTGATATTTTGTTAACAAGACAGAATCATATTAAAATAAACATTTCTTTTTTATAACAAAATTTTAATTTCATTTTACAAAAATGTTTATTAAAAAAAAAAAAAAAACAAAAAAAAAAATATTTTTAATATTTGATTTTTTCTTTCTCTTTTCTTTTTTTAACATTAATTTTTTTAGCCCAGAGAAAAAGGAAAAATGCGCTTTCACATGTTGCAGAATGCTCAAATGGCACTTGATTTTTTACGATATAAAAGAATCAAATTGGTTAATATACGTGCTGAAGATATTGTTGATGGCAATCCAAAGTTAACACTTGGTTTGATTTGGACAATTATTTTACATTTCCAGGTAAGTGGACTTTTTTCTGTTTTTTTTTTTTCTTTTTATATATTTAGAAATTTTTTTAAACAAATTAAAAAATGAATTGACCTCAAAATGAAATGGTTCCCATCGATGGATCTCTGATATGTCATCGTTCAATACAAAAAATTCGAATGAAAATATATGGGAAAATAATTAAAAAATGGTCACTCTTGTTGTCTCATTTTCTTATATTTTTGTACTTTATTTTGCGATTTTTAATTGTTTGACATTAAAAAAAAAGTCACCTAATTTGGTTGTCAAAAAAAAAACAAGAAAACAGCAAGAGAGAAACAGGAATTTAAATTTGAAATTTATAGAAAGATTTTGCAATAAAATTTTGTGTGTGTTCACACTCTTGTTATAACACACATTTAAATGCCACTTATAGTCAAAGGAGAGCTATTAAAAACAAAAATAATTTTATAAGATCATTTTAATTAAATTAGAGCTTGGTTTTTTTTCGCAATAAGAGCCTAATTAGATTTAATTTGTAATAAAATTTGTCTCTTATGTCACACATTACTCGTATTTTGTATATAATAGAGAAGTAAGTAGTTGTACATATGAATAAAATTGAATTTAATTATAGGATAATTAAAAAATTAATAAAAAAAAATTGTCGAAAATTTTATAATAATTAAAAAGTGATATAACTTGTGATAATAATTAAAGAGCCAGCTACTGTTTAAATGAATTACTGTAGTTGGGTGACTGTATTACGTCAGATTTTGGGGTAATTAAAGTTGATTTCAAGAGTGAGTCAAAATATTTCTCTTATATAGCGAAATATTCTTATTTTATTTAAAGACATTTATTCTACGAACTATTTAATTTTAGTAGTCAGAACTAATTTGAATAATATGACTCGCACTTATTTATAATTTTCAATTTCACACACTATTTTCGGTTAAGTCACATGTTTCCCCAAAATAATAGTATCTTTAGAAATTTAAAATCTGTATTTAGTCTTTTAAAGTCTTGCTGATGGAGTTCAAGTTTGCAGACCTTAAAAAGTAGTTCTTATGTTTTCAGTGCTATTCTGCAAAAGAAAATTCAAAAACTGAAAAAAAAAGTTTTGAAAATAAAAACGTCCCACTGCAACCATCTGTTTTTGACATGTCAATTTAATTTTGTCATTTTAGTTTTAAACCTTGGTGTTGGTATGTTAATATTATTAATTTATTTTTAAAAAAAATTAATTAAAAATGGATACGGATGGCAAAAAAAAGATAAAGGAAAGTAATTTTCTCTTAAACAACATCTTACTAAGCAGCTTCCAAAAAAAACTTAACAGAATAAAAAAACCTCGAAATTTTTTACAACAATCTACTTTTATTACCCCCCAAATTTTTTACTACTCCCCACATCACACTCCCCTTTCTACACCCCGAGCAGGAGTCGTTTTCTAATTTCAGTTTTTCAGTTATGAGGAGTTTGGTTTCTGCACTGGACCATCTTTTTATGCTATTTTCTTCATCCTCAAATCTCCATAATAAGAAAACCATTTCAAATTTATTGAAAAATTTAATTTTGATAATGTAGATATGTACTTACATGTCCTCACTAGTCTCGAGTGTTTCAGACATTATACAATTTTGAAAATTAGCAGGTTTTTTTTTAGAAGAAACTATTGAATTTTGTTTTAGAAGAAACTACTGAAATTTATTGAAAATTTTTGAACAAAGTTAAATTTTTTTAAAGAAATTAAAAATTTTTAAGCGGTCTTATTACGCGGTCTTATTTCATACTATGAAATTATAAGGTTATATATTTATACCCGTACGAACGTATGTTCGAAGGGTATACTAAATTTGCCTTACCGTTTGTAACGCTAAGAAATAACGGTCTTAGATATAGACTCAAGTGTATGTTTTTGATCAGCGTCAAATTCTGAGTTGATTTAGCGTTGTCTGTCCGTCCGTCCGTCCGTCCGTCCCAACGATAACTCAAAAACTAATTAAGCTAAGTTCAGCAAATTTTCACAAATGATTCATTGTAGTAAGTGCCAGAACCCTATTTAAATTGGGCATGATCGGGGTACCGGTTCGGGTAGCTGCCATACAACTTCCAAAATTATTTGGCTATATCTCAGAAACTATAAAAGTTGTGGTATTGAAATTTCACATAAGTAAATATATTAGTAGGGCCGATGTGCTTGATAAAATTCGTTAAAATTTCTTGGCTCTTTCTGGTAGCTGCCATACAACTTCAACAGTAGTTTAGCACACAGTATTTTGAAAAACACATTGTACTGAAATTTTGCATAAATTAATATACAGCAACTTAAAGTCATAGTCTGTCCCATAGTCAGTTATGGCATCTTTATTCGCACATAGGATAACAAGTTCGTACGGGTATCACAGAGTTGACAAGGTGAACTCTATTTTTTTCTCGTTTTCTTATTAATAACAGCACAAATTTAATGCTGCAAATGCTGCTGAAGTTCTTTTCAAGTTCTAAAAGCAAAAACGCGCTACTTTTTGCAGTATAAATACAAAAACGCACTGCATTTGTAGAACTTCATAAGATCTGCAAACTTGAACTCAATCTATTTTATTCTTTTCTCACCGAGCTGATACAGAATAGAGAGCGTAATATGAAATGTTTTACTTTTCTGAATTGTATGAGTAAATTTCATAATTTTATTTGGCTATTATTACCCTCATTCGAAATTAATTCACAATAGTAAATTAATTTTTTTATATTAATTTTAACATTTTAAAATTTTTTCCACAAATTTCACTTTTTTATCTTAAAAGTTTTTACAAAAAAATGATCATCTTGAAAATCTTGTACATTAATTAATATTAAATTAAAATTTAAACGGAAGTAGAATATTAATGTGTGTGTTTGTTTATAAAACTGTAAATTTCCTGCACATTAATGCATTTTAACAATGTAAAGTTATAAGGAAATATTTAATTATTGTTAATTTCAAAGTTCAATTTAGATTGTCGGTAGCTATTGTATACGATATTGTCAGTAGCTACTTGCTATATAATAAATAAAAATTGGAACTGTGTTAAAAATATGAAGTGCTGCATTTCAATTAACACTTACATAACTTGTTTATTTACTTTATTTCGCTTCACTTTGTTTTGATTCGCTGGAAATTCGTGTTAAATTCTTGCGGTCATCAGAATTTAAATTTGAATCAATGAAAAAAAAAAAACTAAAATATTAATTGTGAATAAATTGAATTCAAAAATTATATTAAAAACACAAAAAAAAAAAATCTTTGTAATTTAAGCTACCAGTTTTACTTAAAATGTCATCGTTAAAGACATTTAAAATGTCAAAATCAATTTGATTTTCATACCCACATTAACTAAATACAAAGTACACAAATAAGTGTAGGATGCGGAGGACATTTTTTTCTTATTTTTATTTTTAACGTCATATGAGCATGCTCAACTTATGTTCGTTCGTTCGCTCGTTCATATATTCTTTGATTTTGACATGAGTCATTAACCCATTAGATTTTTAAATGTCTTATTTTATATCTTTGCAATTTAAATACCTTGCATGTCTTATTCTCATTTGTTATAGGATTACACAAACAAAGGGGGAGTGAAAACTTTTTTTAATATTATCATCATCGAAATTAGTTTGTTTAATGTAATTTTTCGCTGTTTTGTTTATTTCGTTTGTTCTTTTGAGTTATACCGCAAATTAAATTTTATTAACCATTATACGAGTATAATAATATGATCATTGCTTTTAATTTATAAAGAAAACGCACGAAAAAAAAATATACGTAATAAAACAGAATAAACAAGTAATATAAGCGAATTTTAAAGTTAATTTTTATCTTGAATTTGACATGTTCACAAATCGCTTAATTAAATGCGCGGCAGTATTAATACACGCTTTTTTGGTTTGTCATTCATTATTTTTTTTTTTGCCGTTGTTCTTGTTATTTTTCGTTTTAAATACCGTGATCCGAATTTTATGAGCGAAATTTACAGAATTTTTTTTATTTTTTTGATATTTTCTTTTTTGTGCTTTTTAAGGTGAATTTCAGTTTTTATCATAAAGTGCAGGAATTGTTGGATGATAATCTCAATGCAGTCTACCTGTCCTACGCTAAGTTTTGTTTTTTTTTTTAATGAAATGAAGTACATATGTGTGTATTGAGTATTAATGATTTTGTGTGAAATGCAACTGGCATGCAAAGTAAGAAATTGTTAACTTTAAAAATTACGTTTTTTAAGGTAAAGTATTTTTGAATACTGGAACTGTTCATTGCTGTCACACACTAAAAACACATTTAGTGGTTTCTTTGGTGTTATTTTTAAAATCAAAATTTTTGGTAATTAGAATTACGATAATGAAATCGCTACCAATTTACCATAAAAATAGCAAATTTTTTTTTAGTTAGAAAAATGCTAATCAAATCTTATGCATAGTTCAAATATAAAAGTTTTTAATCATGTTTCAACATTTCAATTCATGTTTCTTGTTTTGTTCAATTGAAAAATGTATTTTTGACATGAAACATTTTGTATTTTTAATGTGCAAAATTTTCGAATATCGAAAATGCAATTAATGACAAAACCTATTAAAAAGAAAATGTGTCTTTTTTAAGTTTTCGTTGGCGTTTCAATAATTTTTTTTTTGTACGATTGTGATTTTGCATAAATTAAATGCATAATAAGGCATGTAAAGTGTAGGTAAAGGTAGTAAAAATTTTAAAATATTTTTTTTTATGATTTAATTTTATTTTTATTTTTTTAAAGAATAATAAGAAAAGTATTTAAAATTTTAAGTGTTAATTTGAAATAGATTATGAGAGGTTATTAAATTTTATTGTTTTGAGTTGAATATAAAGTGAGGGGGTTGAGAGAAATGAAATGTGACGAAAAATAGAAAGTTTAAGCAATAAAGAACTTTTTGCATATAAAGGCAGTTCATGACTATAGTTAACATTCAAGTCCGTATTTCAAATTGCTGACTAAAATCGATGCAGACCGACAGAAATCTCT